GGGTCACCCCACACAGACACAGCACTGGGGAGGTCACGGAGTTTATTTTGGGTTTGGGGATGTCCCCAAGGGGGGTTGGTGACACTTTTGGGGTCTCAGTGATGTCCCCAAGGGGTTTGGTGACACTTTTGGGATCTCGGCAATGTCCCCAAGGGGGTCCTGTCCCCTCTCCGAGGGCCTTTGAGGTCTCAGCGATGTCCCCAAGGGGTTTGGTGACACTTTTGGGACCTTGGCAATGTCCCCAGGGGGGTCCTGTCACCGAGGGACACCCTGGGGTGGCCTCAGGGGTGTCCCCAATGGGGTCCTGTGACATCTTGAAGGACTTGGAGATGTCCCCAAGGGGGTCTGGTGGCACTTTCAGGTCTCGGTGATGTCCCCAAGGGGTCCCGGTGCCACCTCGGGGTCCTTCACATTCTCTCTCTGGGGCTCTCGTGACCTGGGGACACCCCGGGGTGTCACCTTCCCTTGGGGCCACCTCCAGGATTGTCCCCATGTCCCTCAAAGCCACCTCCAGGGTGTCCCCGTGTCCCCTAAAGTGTCCCTGTGCCCCCAGCATTGTCCCCATGTCCCTCAAGGCCACCTCCAATGCTGTCCCTGTGTCCCTTGATGGTGTCCCCATGTCCCCAATGGTGTCCCCATGTCCCCACGTGCCACCTCCAATGGTGTCCCCATGTCCCCAGAGGTGTCCCCAATGGTGTCCCCATGTCCCCAATGGTGTCCCTGTGACCCCAGGGGTGTCCCCATGTCTCTGTGTCCCATTTCAGGATGTCCCCGTGTCCCCAGGGTTGTCCCCAATGGTGTCCCCATGTCCCCAGTGGTGTCCCTGTGTCCCATTTCAGGATGTCCCCATGTCCCCAGGGTTGTCCCCAGGATTGTCCCTGTGTCCCCTGGTGCCACCTCCCAATGTCCCACCTCCTCCAGGGGTGTCCCCATGTCCCTCACCGCCACCTCCAGGTGCCACCTCCTTGTCCTCGTCCTCGTCCTCGCTGTCCCCGATGTCCCCCCCGTCCTTCACCACCCTGAAGGGTCCCCCGTGCCCGGGGACGATGACATCGGCCGTGGCCACCAAACTCCTGCGACTGCGCCGCTGCTCGGGGGGGTCCTCGCTCAGCGCCGCCCACTGCCCCCCATCCCCCTCCCTCTCAAAAGTGTCCCCGGCCACCGCCACTGTCCCCAAAGCTGTCCCCAAGGCCACCAGGCTGACGTGGGCACGCGTGTGGCCCGGCGTGGGGGTCACCTGCAGGTGCCCGGGGTGCAGCACCCACGGGACCCCCTGGGCCAGTCCGTTGGGCAAGTAAAGCCCCTCGCCCCGGCTCAGATCGAAGCCCACCAGGAGCGTGGCTCGCGGGAACAGATTGAGGTTGCCCACGTGGTCCGAGTGGCCGTGAGTGACCACCACGTGCGTGACGTCATCGGGGGTCACTCCATGGGCGTTCAGGAGCCCCGGGAGGTGCGGCCGGAGCCACGGACCCCCCGTGTCCACCAAAACGGTCAAAGGGCCACCATGGAGCAGAGTGACCGAGCC